CCCCCCACCCTTTTGGAAAGGAAAAAAGAAAGAAAAAGAAAAAATTGCTCTCCTGAGGTTATTTTCGAACATCTAGAAAACAAAAATTTCGTGGGGGTTCCCCGGCCCCCTAGGGTAGTGTTGTCTTGATCAGCCCCATTTTTAGCCACCCGCCCGGTTGGACATTCGAGATGGTCTTGTTCTCAAGATTAAGCTATTCAAGGTTTTACGGTATATGGGTGATTTACACACATTTCTCACATCGAGGAGCTTTGAAACAAGCATACACTATTAAGACAATCTGATCGCAATATTGCTGTGTCAAACTACAGCTTAATGTGGCCTTAAGGCCTGTCCACATTACCTAACTGTATGCCCATATATAGTCATGATGTGCCTATATGTGGTCATGATGTGATGCCATCATTACCATATTTAGGCATGTTATGTTTTGTCAAATAAAATTTCATAGGACAGGGCTTTAGAAAACATTCATAACACACCTTCTCTAGTACCACCAAACAGCCACTTATAAAGTTTAATGATAAAAATATAGCATTAACGATCTTAATATGTTTAGTAGGATTTTGAATTAATACTTTAGGAGATGCTAAGAATGCAGGACATTAAACATGGAGTTGGGTAGCAACTTGCATGAGTACTTTGAGGCCCGGCATAAATGTACTAATCTCGGAGAAATTTCCACTGGAGACCAACTGTTTGTACACTTCTAAACCATTCTGATAATCCATGGCTCCTATAAAATGGGCAATCTGATGCAATCCCTGCAATATGTTGGGGGACAGCTGGAAAAGAAACATATTCAGTAAATTTAATGAGTTTATCTTATGAGTGTAAGCTGTGGATTTATACCAATAAACATTTAAATTCTTGTTGATAGAAATATCAAGAGGCATAGGCTGGTTTTGGTCTGATTTTGGGGAAGATGCAAAATGACATGGAGTGTGCAAAATTGAGAATGCGGAACCAAATCTGAAAACTTATTAGTATTTTACCACATTTAGTGCTTCTGCACCCCATACCCCAGCCTACACCCATGGAATCTGCCAGTGTCTGCCAATAGTAGATGGCCATAGTGTGACAATACCTTTGAACCTTTGATTCATTGTGTGTGAGATTAAAAGTAAACAAATCTAGAAAAATACTGCGTTAAGTTCAATACAAATGGGCAAAAAAGAGTGACTACTTACTGCATTTTCACATAATTTATCATATAAAGCATTCAGTTTTTTGGTTACATCATCTAGCTTCCTCTTAATTTGCTGTGGAAAAAAAAAACAAGGTGTTTTCAAACTTATTACTGACATACAATTTATAGCAAAGGATTGAGCATTGGTATCACTTGAGCCTCAGAATGATTATGGCACCTCTAGATGGCCAGAAATGGCATTCTCAGACTTTAATTTGAAGGTAATTTTACTTTTTTTCTCAATTTTGTATACAACTTTATAATTAAAATATAAAAAAAAACTAGCCAGTTAGTCAGCCCTTGAATGTGCCACTGATGGGTATGATTATTAAACCATTTTTTATCACTGGGAATAAACCATAAACTACAATAATAAATAATAAATAGCAAAATATTAGCATTTGAAGTATGCTGGATATTAATCACATCATATTTCCTAAAATTAAGCATGAACTTACGGGGTTCAATCCCACTGCATTGATGCACCGATTTTTTAAGCTTTCAAATGTTTGATTTAACACTTGATGTTCAGCTGGAATCGGTGCTCTGGGTGCTTCCTTCTTCTCTACGGGCTCTGCTTTCTGTATCAAGAAGAAAATCAACATCGTTTTTTTATATTACACAAATCAAAGGTGATGTTACTCTTTAATGGAGCTATATTTGGTTTAACAAATTTTTGCTAAAGAAGAACACCCCTACAAAATAATAGAAATGCCTCTTATTTTGCTATATGACATCTTACACGATGATCAGTTGTCAAACTACAGATTAATTAATGCCATTGCATTTTCAATAAATTTGTCAGGTTCTAAATTAGCTACACACTTATGAATACTCCCATGGAAAAAGAAATGTTGCATATGTTTTATGTTTGTTCATATTGCAAGGTTTCTTTCACCTGTCAAGTGGTGCAAGAATATCCAAAAGACTTGTGTTCTGTCTTGGTTTTTTAGAGTAAAGCCGGGCCACTTACTGCACCCTATGCGATCTATAGTGAACCCAACCCCATGAAGAGCATTTTTTACCGACGATTCCTTCAGACTGTCACCACCAATCAACAGAAAACGCAGCGTAGTCTAGCGCTCACATGTAGTGAAGTTGGATTCGTCATACAACGCAGTGTATGTCTGGCTTTATAGACCACAGGTAGTAAGTAAAGTCGTAATGAACACCAGTTGTTAGTGAGCACTCAAACCAAACCATCATACCTGAGCAATCTCAGTTGCTTGTACTTCCTTAGCTTGTTGAGGGTTGTACATCTGTGCATTGTAGCCTTGTGGCTGCCCATAACCTGTTGGACCACCTGGCGCTCCTTGATTCATCCCAGGATGTGCAGCAGACTCAGCACCACCAATGATTGGCGCTGTGATTGGTACTGGGGCTACATATGTAGGCTTTTCCTGATAAAAAATAAAAAATAGTAACGATCATTGTATAAAAAGGTACATTTATTACATGATACATTTGATGATGAGACATTTTAAGATTTTACCATTAACATCAAGATAGATAAAATCATCTGGTTTCATAATATTTACGTAAAATATTTGCAAGAACATGTTTTTCTTGAGGTTAATACATAGAAAGCTCAAAATAATGAAAAACAACAATGCTGAAAGAAACGACGACTGGATCCTGGTGCCAGACTGGATCCCAAGCTTGAATCCAAGTTGTGCCAACTACTATTTATCATTTACAATTTATATTTTATACTGTATAGAGTACTACGTGGCTACATCGCAATGCCACGTGATACTGTTCCATTACTATCAGCAACCCAAAATGTAGTCAACCGGCTTCATTGTCTCCACTGACAAACCACTGATCCCAATTTCTAACGTCATTATTATGATGTTGTATCTTAATTTTTAATTATTCAATTTAATTAATCAACGTCTGGTTGACAACAAAGGGGCCACCTGGTGTTTTGACGGCACTTACGTTGTACTCTATAACATTACTACACAGCAAGCAAGAAAACTGGAGTTTATCTCTAGACATATAGGTTGCCCTCTTAATAAAATCCACTTTCGGGACCTGAGACTGTGGGGTGATCTAGTGCTTTGGTCTCCAATTAGATGGTTAAGCCTATAGATTCTATTATGTTTCTTTGAAAAAGTGGTTTTAAATTAGAGGGGTATCGAATTGAAAGATGTACTGTATATCATTATACAATACTTATATATTACATTTATATAATTAACAGCATGTATTGTATTATATACATGTCAAATTACCTTTTGTTTGACTGGTGGTGGGTCATTCCAAGCTCCTTGTTCCTGCTTTGGTCTAGACTGAGTTAATGAAGATATAGGCTGCTGCGATACCATTTGGGTGGGCTGGAGCGGAGTTGGTTGATGTGGCTGCGAAGGAGCCTTATTCTGTACTTGAGTGATTGGTGCTGGTTGTTGGTTGTAACTAGTTGGATTGTAAAAACTTGTTGGGGTTGCATTTGGATATGTTGGTTGTGAAATGGTTGCTGAGGGTTGATAATAAATCGGCTGAGCTGAGGAACCTGGCATCTGCGGCTTGGGGTAAGCAGGATGATTAAGTCCTTGCTTAGAATATATATTGGTGGGTTTCTGAGTTGCCGGGGAAGTTTGAGTGTAGTATGTGTTGTTTTGTTGGGCCTGTGAGCTTACTTGGCTATTGTAGTATAATCTACTGGAAGTGGTGGTTGTCTTAAAAGAGTTCAATCCCTGAAAAAAAAGCAAGAAAACAAAAAAAAAAATAAAGAAAATCATAATTAATATTCAGTTTTGGGTATTTTATTTAATAAATAATTTAATTTTTGCATTTATAAGCAAGTTACATACATGGTAATTATATATTTTTTCCAATCCATTAGGAGCAATTGAACTTAACATATTAGTATTCATATAATGAGAAAAACATCTTTAAAATCCAGCATGCACGCACCTGTTGCAGAGTTTATGCATGAATGAACACAGTAAACAGTTACAAAAAACATATAGAAACCAGTCGAAAAATATAGCATATTTTTTAAGAAAATAACTTAAATGCAACATGTAATTTTCAAATGTGGTTACAATTTTGTTTGACGATTGATAGCTAATGGACATAATACAGTAAAAATACCAAAATTGATAGTTTCAGACCTGACAATTATTCATCTTTAAATAATAAACTTTGTTACATATATAGGTTTGAATATGTAAATTGAAACAAAGTAGCAGATTAGAATTTGGCAAGCTTACCTGGCTTTGAGATACTTGGCTGACAGTGGGTTTAACTTGAGCTCTATTCTGCTGCTGGTAGCTTGAAGGTGCCTGTCCCTGGGCTTTGTATAATCTTTCCAGTAAATTGGCAACAACAGGCTAAGGAGAGAAAAAGTTTTAAATTTTCATTTAGCTAAGTCTCACATGATGATACCAGTACTGACAACAAACTCTTCCAGTCCCTGTGCAAGTTCAAACACTAATAAAAACTCCACAAACTAAGCTTCATTATGTGGCTATTCACTGAAATATAACAATAACAACAATAACAATAAAATATTAACAATAAAAATAAACTTTGAGATCAGAGGTTTGAAGCTTTTACTGTGAATTTCGCTTGTGTCTTTGGGTAAGAGAATTAACCTATGTTTGTCTCTGTCCAGTCGGGAGAATAAATGGGTACCACGCTGGATGATGTGGCAGTGAGTCTAGTCCCCTTAGTCTGTATAGGCATTAAATTGCAAGCTAAGAATACTCCTCAGGGAGTGGAGGAGGTTACACTTTGTGCTGGTTTGATTATGAGATCCATGACCAGGGATAAAAATAACATCATTACTAATGGCTTGTCTCCTTGGCATGTGCCACAATATAAATTACTTTATAATAATTCTTATATTATTATTATTATTAATAACAATAAATATAACAAGCAGCAACGACGACAGACACAACAAAAAGACATACCTCATTCGAGTCCCGTAGGTAATTAATTGCGGTTGTCAAACTTCCTTGGGATGCTAGAAGTTGAGCATAGCTACTCAGCTTCTGTGCAATAACACTACCCCCACTATCAACATACCCCTGCTTCTGAGCAACTGCCTCTCGTAATATCATTACTTTCTCTACTAGATCCTGAAATGTTAAAAAATTATAACATTATTTGAAGATTATGTCAATTTGATAAAGTATGGAAAAAAAACAAATGTGAATGAGTATGATTTAATATGTTTTGGATTCTATTATTAAAACTTAAAAATGATAGTCTTTCATATGTAAAAGTTTAACAGCAAAATCATACATGGAAATACATGAGCGATAAATACATATTGTTGTAAAATTCATCTTTCTTTTGATTACATCTCTTATGGATATAACATTATTATTCTCATATATGGGCAAATAAGATGTCTAAGACATAAAATTTAATAATTTAGTTATAGCTTAAATACACAATTATTATCAAACCATGAATAATGTTAACGTTTCTGTAATTATCCTTGATTCATTTTTCCATGCTTCATTCGATACGAGCAAATTTCTATAATTTAAAAAATTTAATATATTTCATAAAACAAATGAATTAAAACAATTGGTAAAATGATTACCTGCAGCCCAAGTGCAGAGTTCCCATTAGGGGTTACCTTACACCAGCAGGTTACAAGCTTCTCTACGTTGCCTGCACATATATAGCACAGACAAGCACTGGCTACTAGTTCCTCATCACCCTCCGTCTCAAGTCTTGACCCCAATGAATCTACAAACATTACATAAGTATTAAGTCAGGTTGTTATAGAAATAACGTGTGGAGATTCTATTGTAGGAAAATATGAATATATATCAAACTGGAGGTCAGTTATGTAGGCCTGGGTAGGGCCTACAATTTATCTGATTACCTAAAAATAAAATAAAATACCTGACATTATAATGGAGCTATAGAAATACTGATATAATAATTTCTTTTGACCATGCAGGCATATACAAGCTAAGTGATCTACATAAATATGCTCTTTTGCCTTGCCCTATCTAGGCTTATAATCCTAGCCTCCTATGCTAATAATGGTATGGCGTTAGGGCATATGTAATCCGCTAACGACATAACTAGGCTTCCTTTACTTCCATTCCAATTTTTTAAAATTTTTTTCTTCTTGACATCCATAAAATTCATCTTCTCAGTCATGATATTGAAGGAATTTCATGGGTCTGTTCAAGTCTGTTTCATGCTCTATGAATGAATTGCCATTATGCGATAATTTTGGTGGCCCTCTAGGTACATATGGAAATAGCATACACAAGAATGGTCTTCAGGTTGTGTGCGAAAAACCTTTCAAAGACGATCTTAATGAATGTTGCGGGATAGCAAAATTAGCAGAGGTAAATGATGACTAATGATTAAGATTCATTTATTTGAGGTCATGTTCGCAGTGGTAGTAGCACTGAATTGGCACAATATTTACAGACTTACAATGGAACGTATAAAAATACAATATACATTTAGAAAATGAAATTAAAACATATACCGAAGATAAACTACCTAACTGTTTATGTGAATGAGGTACAATGTATGTCCTTCATTTTATCTTATTGCTTAGTGAACATTATCATTACTACTACAACCACAACCACCACCATAACTACCATCACCATTATTATCAACATCAGAAATAACTTACTGCACAAGGTTGGGAATTCTTCTGCTGTAGCGTATGTGAGTAGAGCAGTTAGTACTTCCTTCCAGTTACTTAGTTCACAGCATTTCACCATGTCACTGAGATCCCTGGTGACAATTGATGATATCAACTGCAGATACACATCAAACAAAAGTTATTTCATGAATGCTAATTAATAATTTCAGAGTCACAAATATATAACTGTGACTATTTCTAAAATATATTATCAAAAATACCCCTCAGCATACAAAACCACTCACACTATGGAAAAGTTAAATTAAAATATATTTAATCAGCAACATTTAGAGAACAAACTCACTCTTGAAATGTCACTCTTATTTTTCTTGAAATATTTGCGTTGAGTTCTTGCGAGAAGTTCAGGTCCACCTGCTATTGCGAGGATGATTGCATCTGCTAACCGATCGTCATGGAGACACATCTCCACAGCAGCTTCAAAATTACCCGTAAGCAGCGCTTTGCTGAGGAGACCATTTGTATCTGAAAGAATATATTATCTTTAAGTTTACTTTGGTTGGTCCTGGTACTTGTTTCTTTGTTAATATTAATGGCCAAACGAATACTAAAATTAAATGACCAGGATTTTAAACAAAAACCCTGGGACTGGGAAGCAACTAAAATTAACTACTTCTTGGCGAGTGGATTGGCCGAGAGGTTAAGACAGGGGAACCGTGACATACAGTCATAATATCGGCGCTGGTTCGAACGGCACGCTCGCCTATGGTTCCGGTGGTGGAACAAGTCTTCTCGGATAACGTCATTAAACCGTAGGCCCAGTGTACAATATTGGCTCGTGTGCACTTTAAAGAACCCAGTACATCCTTCGAGAAGTGTAGGGGGTTACCCCGGTGTACTGGTCCATCTCTAGTCCCCTGTCCGGCCACAGAAGGAGCACTTACGAAGCGGCCCATGTCAGGTATCCATCCTACCTGCGAATCCTTCTACCACACTACGTAAGCTAGATCATACACACTAGCTACGTAGTCACTCGAACTACTTCTTATGTAGCATCTTACCTTCATCTTTGCAAATGCTATATGGGGAGTCGGGCCTAATGTCTTGCTTTCCATCAGTCCTATTCTCCACTTCCACTGTCCCTCCAGCAGCGATGGCATCAAATGCAGCAGCTCCATCACCATCGCCAACACCATCACTTGGTGTCTGAAGAAAATAGTCAATAATGAAAATAACTACTGAAACCAGGTTGAAATACAATGTAAGATAATCTATGTTTCACGGACAGTAGAACCCCTATTAAGGGGACACCTTCACGGCCAAAAAAGTGTAACCATAACTGGGGTGTCCCTGAATAGAAGTTGGCTAGTGTTAAAAGATATACTTTTATTCGCTTTGCGGCCAAAAATGTGTCCCCTTAATGGGGGTGTCCCAACGGAGGTGTTCTATTGTATACCAAAAGGAAACGGTACATTTAAACATTTAGTACCAAATGCGGATTGAGGGCCAAAATAATAACCTCTGCTACATAAAAAACCCTAAGTAAATGAATGAAACATGAAAATATACCAAGCAACACAAAAATAATCCACACTCTACCACAAACTAATTCCAAGTTCAAGTAACTTTATTCTTTTTATGATGAAAAACATAGTGTGAGCATTCTTATACAGTACATTTGGTGCTACAGTTAGTTTTCTTCTTTTTCTTACAGGCCAACTTCATAATGGAAGGCTTTGGCCCAGTAGCTCTATTTTTTTCCTTCTGGAAAGTGCCGTAACAGTTTGTGGAGTATTTACAATTACTATAATTAAAGTTTTTTTATTATATCTTAAACTACTCTAGACTGACCTCTAAAGTAAACATTTGATATTTGTCTGTGCAGAAAAGTCTGACAGACATTGTGCTGTACACCAGCAATTCAACCATCTTTATTCAAATCTTCAGAGTCAAATGACATCACTTAAGCGTATATAATAAGTTTTACTGTATAAAACAAACATGCATTTTTAACTAACCTTGGATCCAACGCTTGGCGACAGGGTACCACTTCCAAGGTTGATGTCACTACCATCTTCATCTGTGTTGATGTTTTCCATCCTTGCTGCTAGCTCTTCTAAATTTACACCTTGATCATTACCATTTTGCAGGCCAATTTTAGCTCCAGTTGCCAGGGCAACTTTCTTGGTCAATTCATGCGAGTCATGGCCAAGTAAGGAAATGAAATGATTCCGTGGTTCTTTTTCAAAATTAACCTGGGATATGAAAAAAAATAAAGCAACAGGATAAATAAGTGAATAAATGCAAAGATGTGTTCCTCTTAGCTGTCATCCATTTTTTCATCATTTTCAAGAAAGTACAAAATATAGGCCTACTCCCTTCTGAGACTCCCCTCTCCCAAAAGAGTGTGTAATAAAATGGTGATTGTTGTCTTTTTAGATCATGTGTACACTGTCATAGGCAGATTGAGGGAGGAGTCGGTATGCCGGGCTGGGTCCTCTAGATTTCTCAAAAGTATAAAAATAATTATATTCAAAATCTGAGAGTGCCATTTCCAGCCACCGACAGGTGCAACCGTAATAAATTTTTTCCCGACGCTCTATCTGCTTAAGTCTCCCCTTCGGACCCACTCTATGTAAATTCACTGACTGTAAATGAAAAAATTGGATTACCTCTTATGGTGTATTAAAAATTTCAAAAAAAGATCCAAAAATAATTAATAATGGTAAATACCAATAATGATTTTTTTTTTTTTTATGTTAGATCCATATCAATTAAAATTGAATTTAGCTTTCTAAAGATTCCTATAAAGCAAATAAAATTATAACAAAATATAGTACCTAAGGAAATGTTATACGTAGGGTAACTAGTACATACTACCAATTTTCATAAAATGCATATATAAACAAACATATTGAGTAGAAGCTTGAGATCCATACCTTTAGGAAATTCCACATTTGCTTCTCAATGTCATCGTCAGACTTAGCTATTTTCGAGCTGCAGAATTCAACAAAGCCACCATCATTTATGGCACTCTCCAAATGCTTAGATCGATTGATGAAATCAGTTTCTGTGATCACCTGACTAATGGACACCTGCTTAGACACCGATTGATGAGGTTGTTGTGATTTTACATGTTCAAACGAGACTAGCTTACCCCCAAACTGTGAAAAAAAACCCATAATTACATAAAGGTTAATTAACCGTTGAGCTATGATGCACTGATAGATATTAAATATGCAAACTCAAAAATCATGAAAAACCTTTACAATTAAAATTTGTATTGTTCATCCAAAAAATCTGAGTATTGATTAAACTGAGTAATTAGCATAAGAATGTAGCAGTATTGTATGCTTTAGTACAGAGAAGCTGTAATACTTTTACTCATAACTTTTGCAATAGTAAGTCGATTCCAGTAACTGACCAATCATTCGAAATATGGAGAATATTAATACAGGTTAAAAAGTAAATTTTCATATTTTTGTAACTAACACTGGTTTTGGCATGGACCTTGCACTGAGCACCACACCTAAGATATAGCAGAATTTAACCATGGATGTGGATGTATCACCTACCAAACCATGATTAGTGAGCATTAATTGTTACTTACAGCAAAGTTGGCTCCTACAGGTCTTCTCAACCACTTGGGTGGCTTCTTGAGGATGACCGCTTCCGTCGGTACTTGTTGAGACTGCTGGCCTGCAACTTGACCATAGTTATCCATTCCAGGGAACGAGGAGGCAACCTAACAAGAAAAAAAAAATCATACTTATTGATTGTGTCATACCCAATATTGATATGAAATGTGTATTAAATACACATACAGAAATGTAGGCCTACTTTACAAGTCATTAAATCTGGGAAAACCTTTAACATGCAAATTTAAAACGTTGAAGTGTTTATTTAAAATAACTATCATCATCCATTCAGCTGTGAAACAGGCGACCACAGGATTTTTCCAAACACCACAATCCATGGCAAGACTGACAATTCTATCTGGCTGTAGCATGCCTTCAGTATCATCTAATAGTCTCTGAACATAGGATAGGTATGATGTAATTTGGCTACCAGACCTACATGATAATTATAATGCTATTTTTAACAACTGCATTATTATAAAGTCATCAACACCCCCACTTCAAGAATTCTGGATTCTGATATGGAATCACTGACTTATAAACCTCTTCAAAAATAGCATACACATCTAAAATACATTTAGCTCTACAACTACGTTAACATTAGTCACTTTACATTTTGACTGTCGGAAAATCTCACTGTGTACCATTTCATAAGGTAACTGCTAAAGACAAAATAAACTTCTGAAATAAAACAATATTTACATTATGCTGCTGTTGCTGTTGCCGCTGATCATCTGGGTAGGTACCGCCCATCAGGGAGTGCACACTGACATGCCCGTCAAATGACGCCGTTGAGATCAAACCCGGGTTACGTGGACACCACTGAACATCAAAACACCATTGGCTACTAGTCGGCAGTTCATAGGTCACTTCTCCTCCTGCTACCGCACTGTTTGGATTCCAACACAGGATGCGGTTGTCCTTGCCACAACTTAGAAGAAGGTCAGAGTCCTGTGGGCACCAAGCAATCGAGAGTATTCCCCTGAAAAAAAAAAATTAGTAATTTTCACTTTTACTGCATATTATTATTATTATTATGCTTGTGTTTGTGGGTATAAACCATAGAATTTCATATAAAGAAGTAGAGAACTCATTCCCAACTTTGCGTAAATCTAAGGTCAACACATGAAATATAGACACTGTGGACGCATGGCGATAAAGAAATAACCAGCATTTGTGCTTTGAGCTTACACATTTCTCAGTAGCAGGAGAATAAAAGAATTTTCTACTAACCTTTGATGGCTTTCCAGGACCTTCAGAGGAGAGGTGGCAAACCTCAGATCCCACATTTGTATGACTGGAGAGTGGTCATCTTCTGATGCTAACGCCATCTGTGTGGCAACTTCTGGGTGCCAAGCAACTACTTTACAATGCATCTGCCAAGAAAACACAAATTTTTAAATAAATATCAATAAAAAAAATTGTAGATGGTTCCATTAATCTGCTTCAATAACCTACCCTAATTAATATATGAAACAATCTTTACACTAATAATATTCCCTAAAATATCCTAATCTGTATTTACCATCATTAAATTGACTTTGTTCTCCAGATAATTTTCAATTATTTTATAATCATTCTAGAACTTCGGAAATCTATTCTCTATTTCTCCCCTCCCCTTTATGATTTCTACTGTAGACTTTCACACATTGCCTTGATCACTGGACATCAACTATGTCTGACATTAGAACAGCTCTTCTGATTTCAGATGCATGTTGATAATCATGCTCTTCTGTAATTATTTTCCTAGCTGAAGACTTATTCAGTCTATCAAATTGTATTTGACAAAAAATCTCACCACAAAATGAGTCTTATGGTTAGAAATTCAAAAACTAAGTTTATATTATATTTGGGTAGATCACATTATGAGATTTAATTTGGTCTTTGATAAGTAGATCCAGAGATGTAATCATTTAAATTTCAGGTGTATGAGAACCACATTTTGAGAAAATCATCCTCAAAGATAAACCAATCTGTACAAATGATAGGACTGGAATTACAGAGTATGTGCAGAGAACACTGTTTTAGTTAGAAAAATCACTTAAGAAGTATACAATCATAAAATTTAACTAGCAAGTTACTCAAAAACATTAAAATCTAAATTTTGTAAACATTTTGCCTTTGACCTCTTTTGGTGAATATCTGAATATGATTTCACCAACGATGTGTCTCATTTCATGGTAAGACCTCACAAGTGTGTTACATACCTAAATATGGTCACATGACTATATATGGGCATACAACAGTTTATTGTCAAAGAGAATTTGATGGTCTGGAGAGAGCTTTAGGATTTATTACTATATAGTCTGTCCTTACCCTTGAGCTATGGTCAGTCACTTTTATAATCGGTTCGTTTTTACGCAAGTCCCATACAACACAACGTCCACCTGGGCAAGTGGAAGCCAATATATGTTGCACTTGCCTGTTCCATGCCAAGCAACTTATATCATCTGGAGGCTAACAACAAAATAAAAAAATATCAATTTTATGAATAGAATCAAATAATTCATAAACAAACTGTACGTTTTTTTTTGGTTTTTTTTTTTCACTTTTACAAAATGATCAACAATTAAGAAATGTTTTATATTGAATGTTTACCTGAGATTTTGCACCTGGTGACATTGGTGATGCTGTATTGTTGAGATCCCAAACAAATATCTCGGAATCACTCGCTCCAGAAGCTAAGAGGTTAGCTTGAAATGGATTGACGTCAAGGGCACGTACAGTACCTGTATGCTACAAAATACAATGTACATATGTAAATATATTTTAGTTTTCAAAGGTTTCACGGATGAAGGATGGTGAAGATTTAGATTTTAATTCTGGACTTGGATGAATCTACTCCAACACAACAGGTACATTGCATCATGTTGGAGTGGTGGTAAACACCTGAGGTATTAGTTGGTGTGTCAATATCTGCCACAAACTCCTTAAAAGCTTAAATTTAAACGGTGAAAGGGAAGGGTAAATGGAGGGTATATGGTTTCGAGCCGAAGCCTGTCACATTGCTTGGTTCTCTAGACAAGGCAGTACTTGGCATGTAAAGTAAAGTGGGAAATGTCCTAATGTCATTTTGCCAAATGTATTTGACTTGGGGAGCTGTATGACTGAGGATATCCCATAGAGAGATGAAGTTGTGGTTATTAGGCAGCACCACAATTTTTTTTCCCCAGTAATTAAACTGACCTATACCAACCTTTTCAATCATTTCAACTAAAGAATCTTGTTCATTAAGAACTTTCTGTGCATCATACAGGAATATACGTCCATTGTCTGTGCCTCCAATTATCAGGCCACTTGTGTCTGGGTTTTCAGGGTTTATTCCATGACTACCCCACATTATCTTATGGAACCTGCAAGGAGAGAGTAAAATTAAAGACTAAAGCCTTTGCACTCATTGCATTATAAGCGCTGGACGTGATGCCATCTGCTGATTGTAGGTGGCACTATGAATCTGGATCATTATAAAAAACAATCTGAGACGCATCTCCATTAAAAAATCATGTCAGCCAAGACCATAGGGCGCAGTTATTGTCCGGCTTTATTTAATGTGGTCTTAAGACTAATGTATAATCTGCTTTAATAGTACAGGACCTGCAGTCGTGTAAATAAAACTTAACTATTGGTTTAAGGGTTGCCTCAATGCAACAATTTATATTAGAGTCAAATAGACCACACATAGCCTCTTTTGGTTACATTTTTGCACCTTTTGTTAACCTTTTTGCACTATACAGTAACTTCTCTTCTCCCTCTACTTAAAGACTAACTTTATGGTATCCACATCCACACAGTATATATTCAGATTCTCAAATTAATGAAAGTAGGTCAGGTCATAATAACTTAGGGGCTGAAACATGAAGATTACAAGACAGCACACTGGTATTAGACATTCAGTTATAGTACTTTACCTCATAGATGTACTCAAGCTAGCCTTCCTTTCCATAGCGAGACCTGGCTTATTCAAGCTCAATGAGTATATCTCCAAGGCTGCGCTGGTACTAAAGGTAGCATCAAGCTGCTGTGCCGCTGTCCCTGTAGCCAGGTAGATGGGATACTGGGAAGAAGGGCTCCAGGCCACATTGGCCGTTAGGTCTATCTCTTTCACCTTCATAACGCTGTCTATAATAATGGAACAAAGAAATTCAATTACATTCATTAAAGTCCTGTTCACACTGTCTAATTTTATGCGACAAATTTGTCACGTGTGCGATGTGTCCATATATTGGTATGACACATGATAATGTCATATTTACTGTACACCCAAATATGGGCATATCAGTTATTTGTCACATAAAATTTGACAGTGTGGGCAAAGCTTTATATACATAATCTTCGTAAATAATAAGTAGTTTAGACACTCTCCTACAGACAACATTTGGCTATGGAAGGACTTTAAAATCTGTTGAAAAGTCTGCATTGTCCTTGCACTATAAAGAATAAACATAGACCTAGCCTACAGAAAGTTTAATGTTTATGAATAATTCTGCTCAAGTCTATTATACAGTTCACCCTCAAATTCGAGACCCACTTGGGGATATGAAATCTGGGGTGGTCTCCGAGTTCGGACTCCACATAAAATGCTAGCTTAGTGTTAACAGATTGATGATTGTTATTTGGTTGTTTGAAATGTAGTCTCGAATTGGAGGGGTCTTGGATTGGAGGGTGCACTTTACACTGTACAAGTATGCTAATTATTTATAATTATTTGGTCAACTATTGTAAACTTCTTAAACAGGGGGTGGGGGGTGGGGTCGAGAATGAGGATTGCAATTAGATTTAATTAATTAAATTTATAGTACAAAATACAAGATTTATTGTTGTAACGTTGGAACAAGACAAATACAAAATTTGTTTCCAGTTGCATAAAAATACACAAAAAGTGCAACATAAACTATATTGATTCTGGTCCTTAAACTTTATTGTTTCTTTTGTCGGTCATAATTTTGACTTCTTGTGGAGGGGCGCCATGAGCGTTTTCTTTAAACGGATACCGGCGCTTTAAAGTTTTCATTATTATTATAAAATAATAAATAAAATAAATAATATAATATAAATTAATAAAAAATATAATATGAAATAGGTAGGCCTACTTAATACAGTATTAGAAGTTGGTATATTTTCTGCTAATTTCAATAAACACCTTTATTTACCCCATTGTATGTACAGGTACTTCATTATTAACTGTAACAACCCAAACTTGAACATAATTTTAACATTTATAGTAATCACATTTTCAATGTGTTATACCGGTACTGTAGGCTATGGAGATATGATTTTTCTGTTGGTTCAAAACATAAATTTTCAAATAAGCGAAATGAAAATAAACACGGCACTAATTGATGTTTTGCGAGTTGAAACAATAAAAACGATAACAAAAAAGTTAGCAAATCAAGATTTGTAGGCCCTATACTTTACTACAGGACTGGCTAATTGTATTAAATAAAATGGCAAAACAGTCCTCGAATTTCACTGGGTTATTTTAATGAGGAAACCAGTCAGGAAGTGAGGAATATTAACATACAGTATGGCAATCGCAAAGAAAAATTCAACTGGACGTAACAGATATGTAACAACATTAGGACAGGATTTGCCATTCTGGGTTGAAAAATTCAATTTGTCATAAGAATCGTTACAGAGATATTATGTCCGTGGTGACCCAGCACAATCAAGACTATGTTGTTTTAGTTCAACTTGTCGTAACAAAGAATCGCACCAATCGAAACAAATGTTAGAAATTCTGACTTTACGTCGACAGGAAACCAGGCTTAACAGCTAGTCTTATAGACTAAGTAGGTTGATGTGTCTGTGCCATGATTTGAGTGAATGCTTACGATGATGAGTCTCACTCCCAACTCAGCATTCCTCCAAACCTTGGTGGATCGTGGGTGACAGGTGTTGTTTGATAATCTAGCCTAGGCCTAGGCCCTTGTTTGTACTCTAGGCTTAGCATAGGCTTGGGCTAACAATTAAATGCCAGATTTTTCCATTAATAATAAATCAAAAATAAATATTGAGACAATACGCAGTTCAAGCAGGACATGGGGCTTACATAAGCGGTACCCAAGCTGCTCAGATAAAAATGGCCTAATAAAATCCATACTTTCCGGGGTCAACCAATCAATATGCCTCTCCTACCTACATAGGCCTATAGGCTAGGCCAGGCCTTATTACTGTATGTAGCTAGGCTGGGCTTATTACACAGCCAGCGAGTGAAAATAATAATATTTTTAATCAACGTGATGTAACTCACCTAACAGTAAATATCACTTTGGTATAAACAAAATTGATTCAGATTCTTTCTATCTTTAAATATATAGATTGATATTTTTAAAACGCCCTGCATTCACCACTTTTTACTACCGGCTTTTTATATTCATAAATCAACGTGGCAAGCGTCAACTCTTGTGTACTGCCACTGTCTACTATACTTTAATTTTGCGATGAGCCTAGCCACCACCAATAAAAGAGAAAATGGCTCCAAGAACTCGCTGTTAGTTGATGCGTGTACACCGACGTGTCCCAATGACGTGCATCAATGATGTATTTGCATCATTGTCACGTCAAGGGGGACACGTCTGATGTTTAATGCATTTAATGCAGATACTGGGAACTTGAAATACTGTAGATTGATCGATGTGGTGTCATCATCAAATGACCAGAATACTCAGGGGAAGCCACAGAGAGTCCCTCGCTAGTCATAAGGTTTGCTATTTTTACATAAGAGGTCCGATACTGAGTCATAAAGAGGTCATTGTTTCAGAATAGGCTCAGAATTGCTAATTGGACATCGCTTTTAACTTCAGCACTTTCGTCCAATGTGTTTTGCTGCTTCTGTGCAACGTGTGCTCAAGTTTATAAAAGTTTATTTCATATTAGTTGAGGAAGTTTTATTTGTTTATTTATTTGGTTTAATTTTGGTAATCTATCTAGAGCTGATTTGAAATTGATTTTTCATTAGCCTGGATGACCTCAGGTGGAAGGTTATTCCAATTATTTATTGTTTTGGGCATGAAACTATAAGTTTGTGTGCGACATTGAATTGGGGTGTATTTATGTGAATTCACAATTCTTTGTTTTCTGGACGGTTTCTTGACATACCATCGGAATATTTATAGCAATATCATTTATGGCTCGTTGAAATAACAATAACCTGGTTTTTTCTCGGCGTTGTTTTAGAGTTGGCCACTTAATATTGTAGTATTGCGCGGCCACTTGACACTGTTGTAATCAGATACTGTGAATCTTCTTTGCACCATTTCCAATTTGTTTATTAGACAATCATTAGACGAACTTGATTTGGGTCCCAAACCTGTTTATAAGGACCACTATTCATAAAGCTCATTATTTATAAGGTTCGCTATAAACAGGTTCGCCATTCATAATAAGAGTTCACTAGTCATAATCAAGAAGAGTTCGCTGTTATAATATAAAAATAGGACCGTTAATCATGAGATTCGATTCATAATAACAGGATTGCTATTCATAATTTTAAAAAAAAGATGTTCACTATCCATAATAAAACAAAGAGTTTCGCTCCATAATAATAATAATATATAAAAAAAGAGGTTCGCTATTTATAATAATAAAAAAGAGGTTCATTGGTTGGTTGTGTATATAAACAATAAAAAAAATATAAACATAGGCCTATAAACATGTTTTCGACACCGGTTTTCCAGTCTGCAGAGCAATTTTTCGATCTTGTTAGATCTCTTTCTAGAGTGCAGCTCAGGATTCAAGAATGAAACACACGACTGACTGCAGTTTGTAATTTGAATTACAGGTTTAGGACAAATATTTCCAGTTTAATGCTCGTCGTACAAGCTACAAGTCGGACAAAAGATGTGTATAAGAGACAGCTAAGTAGGTTGATGTGTCTGTGCCATGATTTGAGTGAATGCTTACGATGATGAGTCTCACTCCCAACTCAGCATTCCTCCAAACCTTGGTGGATCGTGGGTGACAGGTGTTGTTTGATAATCTAGCCTAGGCCTAGGCCCTTGTTTGTACTCTAGGCTTAGCATAGATCTTCTTAGATCTCGTCAGAGTGCAGCACAGGATTCAAGAAGGAAACACAGATGAAATCTGAATTCCAGGTTTAGGACAAACATTTCCAGTTTTATAATGATTACCACACAGCTATCGGAATCTCTATATAGGCCTAGCTGTTGTCGCATAGCCGGAATATAATCGGTGAAATGTGTCTTCATTTGCACAAATCATGCTCTAACGACTCAGCAATTTCAGAAAGTGGTGTCAGACATGTGAGTCAGACTTGGTGGGTTTGGACTCCGACTTTTAAGTAGGTAAAGTAAATAGGCCTACATCAAAAACAGTAGGCCTAAGTCTTATTTTCTATGGTAAATCACACACAGGCCTATTAATTATCTGGTTAAAAAATCGCTGATAGAAGATCATGAGAAATTTGTTTTGAAATTTGCACTTCATTTTAACTATAATAGTGATGTGATGATGACGAATTTTATAAGAGTGTCAGTTCCGGCCATGTAGAGGTAGGCCTACTATTTCCCAAAATGTTCGCACCTCAGGGTGGTGGGTGTGGTCTCAAAGCTTTGAACAAGTAGGTAAAATAAAGTATACATCAAAGACATTGTTTTATAGTTTTATTTCATACAACACATGTATTAATGATCTCTGTGGTTGCAAAAAATCGCTGATAAAAGATCATGAGAAATAATGGTGATATAATGATGTAATTTACTAAATTATAAGTGTCATTTCCGGCCATCTAGAGGTACATATTTCCTCAAAATTTCAAGTACTTCAGCCCAATCCGTAACCAAGATTTTCAAACAGTGCAGGACAATATCAGGGTGGACCCGCTTGACGCGTAAATTCAAATAATGTGGACCAATTTTCTTAAAAGTTGACCCATTTTACAGCTCTTACTTCCATGAGACAATTGATAGTACTGTGAAAAACGCAAATTATACTGTATTATGAATTTGCCGAGATGGGTTAATTTCCGGGAGAAGAGTTGCTAGCGGGGGTGCGGGAGGCTTTAGTGTACCGATTTTTGGAAGACTGATCCCTATAACTTTCCCTTGTTTTGTGGCCAAAAAAGCATCCCATATAGGGGTGTTTTTCAACTTTCGTTCTACAGTTAAATAGATGGTCCTGTTAAGCTTTTTATATACCTGTTTAATCTAAAATATTTTTCTTTAAAATTATAATAAATCTACTTCCAGAAAACGTTGAATCATCTTGAGATTCAGGTCAACTTATGTGGATTTCTCTAGTGCATTCAACACAACTGAAGTTTCCGATTTTTCTGGATCACAAATAATTGTACAATTTTGTGGTTTGCCTCTACCTTTCGATAGCTTAGCAAAACAAAAATGACAAATGATGAAAGAACTTTCTCAACAGCATTCATTATTAAAACGTCAATATTACATTAACATTATTTTTGCAAGTGACATTTACATATACCACTTCCCCCCGCAAGTGACTTATTTTTCAGATGAACTTAGCTATGTGTAAAATACTTCCATCTTCATTCGAATGCTATTTTCATTCGCAAAACATCTGATTCCCCCCCCCCAAAAAAAACAACAAAAACATAGTGTTTTTTTTAATTTATTAATTTTAATTAATGTTTTATCAATCATGTGAATGTATCCTTTTATAACACACCTAAACTATCTTTTAAATATATTAATTTTAATTAATGTTTTATCAATCATGTGAATGTATCCTTTTATAACACACCTAAACTAAAATTTCTCAAAAGAAGAAAGGAGATGAGGCTGTTCCACTGTGAAGAAAAGTACTGTACACCTAACATTTTTTTCCCCTACAGAATATCAAATGACAAGTATCTGGATAAGGTGTGTATTATACAAATAATGAATGAGTGCAACATGCTCTGCCTTGTTGAATGGGACAGTCAATCATTATTTAACTCCTAAAAATATTCTTCCCATTGCACTCATAACATTTATTTGTTGTATGACAACAATTTACACAGTATTCACAATAATGGTATCTGTCCATCAAATGATTTTCAAATTCTTATTGTTTTAAAATTCTTCCCACCACAATAAGTTCCATGGCTTTTAAATTGGTTAATACTTTGATTAAATCCCAATGTTCACATGTAGTATATTCCTTCTCTCCGTGTAAACCTCAAATGTATTTTAGAAATACTGTTGCTACTTTCTTCAGATTTCTTTAACACTTTTTCTCCTGTATTCAGACACCAAATAGTTTTTTAACACATCTTTTTTTTTTATAAATTAAATTTCAATCCACAATGTTCGCATTTGATTTCCCTCCTGTATGTAACATTAAATGTATTTTGGAATTGTCATTGTATTTAAAATTCTTTCCACAATGTTCACATTTGTATAATCTCTTTCCTCTATGTAACTTCAAATGGCTTTTAAAATTACTATTGTCTTTAAATTTTTTTCCACATTTTATTTGCATTTTTCCTGTATGCAAGTGTCTTCAAATGTCTTTTAAAATCTTTACGCTGAAATCTCTTTTCACAATGGTCACATTTATAGGGTTTTTCTCCTAAATGTACCATTAAATGTCTTTTGACATCGCTATTTTCTTTAAATTTCTTTCCACCATGTTCTCATTCATGCAGTCTCTCCTGTATGAATCTTCAAAATATCTTTTTAAATCACACTTTTTCTGAAACTTCTTTCCACAATATCCACATTCATTTGGTGTCTTTTACTCTATGTACCTTTGAATGGCTTTTCATATTGCGATTGTCTTTAAATTTCTTTCCACAATGTTCAAATTCATATTCCTTCTCTCTTGTATGTTTTTTCAAATGGCTATTTAATTCACCTTTTTGATTAAATTTCAACCCACAGTGTTCACATTTATATGGCTTCTCTCCTGTATGTAACCTCAAATGTATTTTAAAATAGCCACTGTATTTAAAAGTCTTTCCACAATGTTCACACTTGTATGGTCTCTCTTCTGTATGTACCTTCAAATGACTTTTATAATTACTGTTGTCTTTAAACTTCTTCCCACATTGTTTACAATCATATGGAGTCTCTCCTGTATGTTTTCTCATATGTATTTTAAAAACGTCATTACGCATAAATTTCTTTCCACAACTACATTCATATGGTGTCTCTCTTGTATGTGTCTTTAAATGAATTTTTAAGACGTCTATACGACTAAAGAATTTTCCACAATATTCACATTCATACAGTAGCTGTCCTGTATGACCCGTCAAATGTCTTTTTAAATGGGAAATTTGATTAAATTTCTTTCCACAATGTTCACATGCATATGGCTTTTCTCCTGTGTGTATCCTGAGATGTTTTTTCAAATGACCACTTTGGTTAAATTTCCTCCCACAATGTTCACATTCATATGGCGTCTCTCCCGTATGTTTCCTCATATGTATTTTATAACCATCGCTATACATAAATTTCTTTCCACAATGTTCACATTCATAGGGCATCTCTCCCGTATGTATTCTTAAATGTTTTTCCATACTGCCCCTGACTTTAAATTTCTTTTGACAATGTTCACATTTATATGGTCTCTTTCTTGTGTGTATCCTTAAATGTCTTTTCAAGTTGCTACCTGATTTGAATTTCTTTCCACATTGTTTGCATTCATATGGAGTGTCTCCTCTATAATGGACCTTCAAGTGATTTTTCAAATTGTTTTTGTTTTTAAATGGCTTTTCACAATGTTTGCATTCATAAATTGTCTCTCTTGCATGCACTTTCAAATGTATTGATAATTCAATATTGTTCTTAAATTTCTTTGCACAATACCTACAATCATATGGTGTGTCTGTATGTATCATTGAATGTTTTTGAACATCATTATTACACCTACAGTTCTTAATACCGCAATGTTTACATTTTAATTTTTCTATATGTATTCTCAAATGTTTTTCAGACTTCCTTATTTGATTTAAACCATTTCCACATGTTTGTTGAGATTTTACTTCTTTCTTGATTTCCAAATGGGGCATTAATTTGGAGTTCTCTCCATAATTTTCACTTTCATTCTTCTCTTCCTTGTTAATTCCCAGGTAGTCACTTAACCTGTCAAATTCATATTTTCCTTTACTTTGTTTATCATCAACGATACACCTACCATTTTCCTCATTCAACTTTGCTGTAAAAATTTCAGTGTGTAATTTTGTTGGTGGAATTATTCGCAAATCATTTTTCAAAGAAACATTGCCATCTGGACTTTCTTCAGAGATGTCAAAAAAACTGCACTGACCTAAAAAATACAATGGGATATCAGTTAATTAGGCAAGGTATAGATGAGAACATTGCACAGTTTTACCCATCTGCATGACCAAAAAAGATCATGTATAATAATACCTCAGGTAGGTATGTATTTATACCTTCTGTGATAAACTGGTACTACATACTTGTTTATTGGAAATGACACAACAGAGTAGTGTAATACACTATGTATGCAGACACTAGCTTTGTGTATGCCAGGCTTAAATAGCCAACCTGATTAATAAATATAAAAATACAGTAGAATCCCTACAGTATGAAGTGGACACATTTGGGACCAAAAAGCATCCCTTTAATATGGGTGTCCCCTGTGTAGGGGTTGGCCATACTGTTAAAAGCTATATTTTCCCTCATTTTGTGGCCGAAAAAGTGTTAATAAGGGTGTCTCCTTAGAGCTGGGCTGTTATGATAGTGCGAGTCAATCAATATGATATTGCGTTTTTTGGGGTTCTCTATTTATTATATTTTTAGCTGTTGGTTGGTGGTACCGGGAATTGATGTGAATTGTTCAAAACCAATGAAGCTTGTAGCTGTGAGTGGAAATAGTACTTGGAACTCGGAGAATGATACCAAATTGTAATTAAAAAAATTAAAGATGTATACTACACAGCTGCTATTAATTATGGTAGTGTCAGTAAATGAATCGGGCCGGCTCCAACGTAAATTATACACAAATTAAATGGCTATGAAATCTCACTGAAACTGAATTCAATTCCCAAATATTACTAAAACCCGTGGCAGACCCAGGAATTTGGAGAGTAGCCCAGGGAGGGACTTTCACAGATGGAAGTTATGTTTTTATGTTCATGTGTGTGGAGAAATAAATTAAACAAACAAAACAAACAAGTTCTAGACAACCTCCGCCCCACATGCATGGCTGGGGCTAAGGTAAGAAAATGTCCCTTACGAAAATATCCAATTGAAATTCATATTAGAAAAATGTATAGGATTCATATTGTAATTCTTATTTCAATTGATATAGGAAATTCTATGAAACTCTGTTGGAAATTGGCCCAATATCTTATAAGATCTTATAAGACTTTTTATAGGAAATTTTTAAGATCCAATAAGAATTCTTATTACAATATTTATTAGCTCATATAGGAATTTTAAATATATTTCTATTAGGAATTGCTATACGATCCAATAAGAATTCTCATTACAATATTAATTAGACCATATAGGGATTTTTAATATATTTCTATTTAGGAATTGCCATAAGATCCAATAAGAATTCTCATTACAGTATTTATTAGACCATATGATTTTCAAATATATTTCTATTAGAAATTACTATAAGATACAATAAGAATTCTTATTACAATATTTAATAGATCATATAGGAGTTTTAAATATATTTCTGTCAGGAATTGCTATTAGATCCTATAAGAATTCTTATTACAATTTTTATTAGATCGTATAAGAATATATTTCTATTAAGAATTACTATTAGATCCTATACATAGTTCTAATGTAATTCTTATTTGATTTGCTATTGGAAATTATATAAGATTTTATCGGAAATTGGCCCAATATCTTATTGGATCCTATATGACATTTTATGGTAGTTTATAAAGATTCTTATTAGAATTTTAGATATTTCTACTGGAAAAAACTATTGGCTTCTACAGATCGTTCTAGAATAATTCTTATTTGCATTACTATAGGGAACTCTAAAGGACTGTATTATAAATGGCATAATATACAAGATCCAATAAGAATTTATATTGAATTTGGAAGCTATCAGAAATTCTAAATAATTTTATTAGAAATTGGTACAGATCCAATAGGATTTTCTATTGTACAGGTATATTTAATTACATTTAATATAAATTCTTATTATAACAGAGTACAGTACATCATTCCTATTGAAATTTCTATCCAAATTTCTGTAGGAAATTCATGAGGTTGGTTTCAATAGAAATGTACATAGGCAATAAACCTGAAATAAGGAAACAAGAAAACATATTGCAATCAATGAATGTTTATTTTAAGACTTAATTATTATTATATAATATAAAGCGATACCAAATTCGCTACATATTTCATTAAATAATTTACAATACACATAAAACACATGAATACCTAAATATGAACTAAACTGAACAACTATAACACTAATTAAAAATGAAATATATAATACAAATACTTTACATTAGTGATATTGTAAATGCATGAACTGAAACATTAACAAGTAGAATTTTTGAATAATTCTTATTACTTTTTTATATACTCGCAAAACTTAATTCGATACTGTAGGCATAAATCATATATTATCACCCAGTCACTAAAAAACATTAACATTATTTTAGTAACATGCTATATATTTTTATAGCTATACATGCATGCTTTTTGAATTTTTGAATAATTCTTATTAATTTTTTATTTACTCACAAAATTTAATTCGGTTGTTACTAATATTATAGGCATATATTACAGTATCACTCAGTCACTAAAAAACATTAAAATTATTTAGTAATGTATACACAGCTATATATTTTTTTGTTAAAAAAAAACTGAAATGGCATTAAAAATTTGCTGGTGTATCTAGTATATATATCTTAAATATATTTCTATTAAAATTTAATAATTGATAATATCGACGCATAACTAAAGGAAACTGAAAAGGCAGAAATTTTGTGTGATAAGACTCTGCCGCTGCGGTCTAATGTTTGCTTACTGTGCGGTTTTATTTGAGATGTTTTATGAACGAGTTTTCTTTCCTTGCCGAGCCTTTGACTGGGTATATTCTAATCATACTGTAGCTACAAGCTCGTACAAAGCATCTGTTTGTAAAAAATAATAAAAAAATTATTTTATTACATATAAATGAAATTATATTGATTTAAATCTAATTTATTTCTATTTTTATTTTTTTTTGGTTTTAGAGTAAATTATTAAGAGTTATAATATATATAAAATATATATATAATATATATTTTTTAAATTTTATTTATTCATTTTGAAGTTAAAAAGTAACACTCAAGGATAATAACACAGTGGTCCCTAAATGAAACAGAGCTCAAAATAATTCTCCATGAACAGAGTTATAAATATAGAAAAATATAAACAATAAAAATTATTATAACAACAAATACAATATAATTTATTAGGATGCGAGTGGTATATCATGAATACATCTTAGACATAATCTGTATATCATCTGGGAATAGGCCTCGTTTAAGGGTTATATAATGTGATGAATATCCCTAAAAATCATAAGATTTCCTTTAAAAAGTATAAATGAAAAATTCTAATTTTCAATTTAAAGGTATGCTAGAGAGTTACAATTCAAATAAATAATATTAAAACTTTAATTTACCTTTGAATAAAATTTAGGTTTGATGACAGGCAGCCAGCAGTGCAGGTCAGCATTACAACTTGCCATTGTGGTGGAGACAAAAATTCCTAGCAAGTCAAAAATTTAACACATTCTTTATCAATCCATAACATCCAGATAACTTGTGTTTACAGTACATTAAATAATTATTACTATGTATTAATATAGCAACACTGTGATAGTACTAGTAGGCCTAGGCCCCTACTGTATTTCAGCTAAGGAATTGTTATTGAGTGTAGGGTAGCTTCGGCTAGCCTCTTGGCTATAGACTAGTTACTACTAGTAGTATTTCTTTCAAAAATACATGCATGCTTAATTTGTGCTGATTGCCTTGCTTAATGGAGAGCAGAATAGAGCATATTCTCTTAATTTAATTATACCTGGCATCAGAAATGAAAATAGTCTTACCTTTCTAAACAGCAATGCATGTGCAGGTTGGATACTGTTGAAATGCTACAATACAAGTAACTTTATTGCTTCTCTTTTATAACAGAGGCACAACCGTAAAGATGTGCAACAATAACAAAATCAGTAAAAACTTAATTACTGTGATAAAATAGTAAGAAAATACTGCGGTAGAACGAAATATATATAAAAAAGGGTTTACAAAAATAGTAATAGAGATAAAAATAAATACTAATACTAATAATATATAATCAGCCACTGTAAACATGCTTTTGATTTTGAAACAAAGCTTCTCTGATCTACTGGCTACAAAGGAAACAGCCAATCAGAAGTATGAATCTCAAGTCTCTCTGGACATACAGTAGAAGTTACAATGGAAGCAGGTCAACTCGGCCACAAGTCAACTCGGCCACAAGTCAACTCAGCCACAGTCAACTCGGCCAGAAGTCAACTCGGCCATAAATCAACTCAGCCACAAAAAGTTCCGCTGCAGTACGTCAACTCTGCCACAACCAAGTCAACTCGGCCACAAGTTATTTATAATTAAAATGAAATGTAAATATTCCAGTTTCTGCATCCTTTTTCTTCAATATGATTAAAATGAAGTACACAGTATATTTTAGTAAAATTCTGATCATCGTCTCATCGTCGTGAGATCGTTGTATACATTTCTTCACACTGTACTCTTTCAACAGAGAAAACCCGCCACTTACAGAATGGAATAAAATCTGACAATTGTAACATTAACAATTTAAGCAATCTTATTAATTAAGAAAAACACATATATTAATATTTAATTTTGTTCACGTTAAAACACTGACATAAAACATGAGTACATACTGTAGACCTAATCGTAAAAAATTGAAATAGAAAAACCACATTATGATTTTTTTAAATGTTAAAAATTTAATTTGAATCAGACTAAAATCAAATGGATGCACGATGGCGTGCATTTCGATACTATTTTCTTCAGAACCACGCCCAAGAATTAGGCCTACGTTAAAATTAGGTGGCCCGGGGTGCAGCATCTAGTATCAATTATCCACAGTAGGAACAATTGGTATTGTTGAGTGACAGACTTCAGTCCTTCATATTTGTTCGACCATTGGGGGATATGTTTGAAACCCGTCAGTGACAAGGATGCATCCAATGACGTGATTCACCAGTGACATGTCGGTCCTTTTCAAATATTTACTTCAATAATACTAATTAGTCATAATAATGATAATAAAGGTGATAACAACAACAATATTAATAGTAACATTTATTTCAACAATACTAATAGTAATAATATGGTAATAATAACGATATTTCAATATCTATTTTAATTATACTAATTAGTGATAATAACATTGAAGGTGATAATAGCAATAACAGCAATAATAAATTAAAGATAACGTTTATTTTTATAATAATAGTAATACATAGTAATAATAATAATAATTATGATACTTATATTATTAGGCCTAATTCGATAATAAAGGTGACAACAACAACAATAATAATAATAATAAGAGAAAAAATACCAATAAAACACCAATAACAATATTTTTAAAATTACTATTATTAAAATAATAATACTAAGACTAATATATAATAATAATATGAAAAAAATCGAGAATTTTTTATTATTTATATGGTAACAATAATAATATCAGCAAAAATTTAAACAATACATAATGTTAATGCTAAGACTAATAATTAATATTAAAACTAACAGTAATAAAAACAACAATAATAATAACAACAATGACACCAATAATAACAGCAATAATAATAATTGTGGCCGAGTTGACTTGTGGCCGAATTGGATCGAATTCACATAATACACATAAGTGCAGTACAGTAACAGCAAATATGTCTGCTTGAATTATTACATAGTCCACTTGCATGTGGTAAATTGTTATGACACTTTTAAGTATCTTATAATTATTATTATTATGAGAATATATACCCCAGGAAAACCCTTTCAATCCTGTGGGAATCTTTTGTGAATCACTTTTATTGATTCTTACTTTTACCCGTTGGAAATTGGAAACCTTAGAGAATCCAATAGGAAATAATTTTCCTTATTGTAAATATAATTTTGTATAAAAATTTTTATTAAATCTGAATACAACTTATGTTCGTTTTATTCTTATAAAATAGGCCTACCATTTAAATTTTTATCGAAAACCTAATTGAAACTACTGTAATAGGAATTTGTTCAATTACTGCCATTGAATCAAATAAGATTTCCTACCATTTATTCTCATTAAAAGTTATTTGATTTCTTATTAGAAACCTTATTAAATCCAATTAGAATTTATAAAACTTATTTCTATTTAATGAAGTATAGGCCAATATGTAATATAAAAATATTCCAATTGTTATTGAATATCGCATTGAATCAAATAGGAATGTGTTCACTTGTTTGTATTTAATCTAATAAGATTTATTATCATTTATTTATAGTTAGTCGAATTTTAATTTTATTGAAATGTTTTAATTGTGAATCATATGAAATTCTTATTGAATCAAATAAGACATTTAATTGAATTTTGTAAGAATTATTCCTGTTTAGTCTTATTTGAATTTCTATCAGTTATGCCTATAAAATGCTTTATTGGAAATTAAAATTCCAATAGGATTTTTAATAAGAAAATATATATCTATATATACTGTAATCAAATACGATTTCTTATCATTTATTCTCATTAAAAGCTATTTGATTTCTTATTAGAAACCTTATTAAATCCAATAAGAATTTATATATGTTATTTCTATTAAATGTAATATAAATTCATATTAGTTATTATTACTGACTCTTATATGAATTCTTATAATTAGTCCAATTTGAATTTTATTAGAATATTTTAGTTTTGAATCAGTATAAAATTCTTATTAAAATCAAATAAGAAACTTAATAGAATCTTGTAAGAATTATTCCTATTTGAATTTCTATTAGTTATTCCTATAAAATGTTTTATTGAAAATTTAAAAATTCCAATATGAATTTTAATACAAAAAAATATTCCTACTGTTATTAAATATCTCATTGAATCTAATAATAATTTTTTCACTAATTTGTATTGAATCGAATAAGATTTCTTATCATTAATTCCAATTAAAAGCTATTTGATTTCTTATTAGAAACATTATTGAATCCAATAAGAATATATATATGCTATTTCTATTGAATGTAATATAAAATCATATTAGTTATTATTACTGACTCTTATATGAACTCTTATAATTATTCCAATTTGAATTTTATTGCAATATGTTAATTTTGAATCAGTATAAAATTCTTATTAAAAATAAGAAACTTAATTGAGTCCTGTAAGAATTATTCCTATTTGAATTTCTTTCAGTTATTCCTATAAAACGTTTTATTGGAAAATTAAAAATTCCAATATGAATTTTAATAGGAAAACAAGTTCCTATTGGATCTTTTAAAGTTCTCTTAATTCCTAAAGAAATTCCTATAAGATCTAATACCATATTTTCGCTTATGTATGGCACCTCTTCAGTCTTGATTTTGAATAGGCCTATAATTTTCTTTCTTTTTTTTTTATTTATAGTTTTTGAAAATTTAGAAGTCCGGTCCAGCTTGACTCCACCCCACCCCACGAATCCGGCACTGTACCGATAGTATAGGTACAGTACATATATAATAAAAATCCACAGTTAGACATGGTAATAATGAACCTACTGTTCCAATGGGAATGGAAACAATAATAGAACTAACCAGGTTCAACCTTTACTTTTATGTGGAGATTCTCTTTCCGGTTTGACATTGCTACAACTTCTTCTGATTTCTGAGAATGAGGTCTGAAAAGAAAATCATTACAATCACAACATGCAAGGCCAATACTAAAGTTGTTTATCTTTCAACACATTTCTACAGTTATTAAAGTAATTACAGGACTATTTTCTATATTCATAGGCTCTTGGTGAAAGAATATGGACAACAATCACAAATTATTGACATAGATGGTAAAAGCAGTGTAAACTTACCATGTAATTTTGGTCAACCAACCAGAACAAATCTACACACTGAACTAGCTTTAATTGCGAGGTGAAAATATGTGACATGGTGGTCACTGTTGCTAAAGATTTGTGCTGTTGCTATGGGAAAATTATTGCCAGAATTTGTACCTCAAGGCCGTCAAATAAAGAGGTCAAATACTATACAAGTCAGGTTATAAGGTACCATGTGTTCTAGGCGGCCATTAGGGCCAAAATACAAAACTGAACAAATAAAGGACAAACTCAACAAACAAAAGACAAACTCAACAAGTCAAAACTCAATAAAACACAGCAAGAAACTTGAGATTACAAACTCTCACCCTGTTGCACCTTATCTATGTATATAGTCGATTCACCAGATCTGCTGTTTGCTGTTGTTGCATAGGGGTGTAATATTACCAGGGAGACATCTCCCTGATATTACTAACATAATACTTACCAGGTGAAGTGTAGCCGATCAGTAAAGGTGCACAAAATATGTGGAAATACTGTATGGGTTCTAATCTCTTTCTTGCTTTTATTATTATATTATTATCATTATTATTATTATATTATTATTAATATTAGTTTTTTATTATTTGTGCATAAATGTGACAGATACAGACAGACTTAAAACATAATTTCTTACATTAAAAACTTAAGATCAAATTATTTATTTGGCTTTTAATATATTAGATAAATAATTTATTCAATCAATTGTTTGTTATTTTAAATAAAACAATTAAATCAACAAGTTAAAAAAAAACTATTTCAAAGATATTATTTCATTAGTAGGATATTAAAAAAAAATGACCTATTATAATTTCGCGTAAACAAATTAAACCAACATATAAACAAGTCAAGTTTCCCATAAAATAAAATGTTGTTGATGATTTTAAAAGTAAACAATAAACATACTGTACTAAAACTTTAATAATGAAGGTGCTCTGTATCTATTCTCTAAAATAGATTACAGTATTCCCAAATAAAGATATAAATCATTCTCAAAAACACATAGACATGTTGTTTATATGGCATTTAAAAAAAAATTATATTTATTGGCTACAGTCCGATTCCAAACCAATTAAATTCTTTTCAAAAAAAATCTACCAATTAAATTATAGTTTAGTTGTCACACGTGACATTAGATTCCTTTTAAAATAAATTATTTTAGTTTTAAAAAATGCCATTGACTTATTGATTCAATTTTTGCTATTTTACAGCATTTAAATAGTGTAAAAACAAAATTCAATTTTATCACTAAATTTTATCATTGGGGGCCATTTTTACCTACCTGTCATTTGGGGCCATTTTTAACGGGGCCATTTTTTGCGGGGCCATTTTTATCGTACACCATTACTGTACGCCCTACAACTGTAGGCTGTAGGTACAATCATTTGTTGGTTTTGACATTTTTACCTCAGCCTCAATTGTTTTATTTTGTTATGTTTTGAGCTAGTTCAGCCTTGGTGTAAAATGTGCTCTTATGAAAAAGAAGTGTAGGTCTAATACTGTAGTACAATTTTATGTAGTTTAGTCATTGACTTATACTAAATAAAGCATTTGCTAAAAATAGATTTGATATTACAGTGAAAATAGATATTTTAGTTCAAAACAATCAAAACAAGCAATTGAACAACAAATTAATACAAATACAGTAATTTTAATTTTGATTATGGATTATCAATTAATCAAATACAATCATATGTAATAGTTATGAAAACGAACTCATAAATAACAAAACAATTACCGGTATCTGTAACATACAGATATTGTCATTACCACAATGTTAAATTATGTATGAAAAACTCAATTGTTCACCTCTGAACTTTATACATGAAAGCTTATTAAGTGCTGCCTGATTCTACTATTACTGTATAATGAACATTATATAATACATTATTTAACTCCTTGCTTAAAGTTCGTCTCAGGACAAAATAAGAACACCTCAATTGTTGACTTTGATTGCACAAAATCTTGCTGCCTGTGTGAACTGGTTTAATAAACAGCTATGACTACTTCATTTACCCAACTCAGCCCACCATATAAGATACTAATTGTTTTAATTCATACTTGTAAATTAGTGAGCAAATGAGACAATAGTGAAACCTGGAAATTTCAATTATCCCGAAGATAGCTTATACTGTAGATGATTTAAATCTGGCTGATACTGTACTGTAGTGTAAGTATACTAACAGCATGTCTAGTATCAATGATCTCAAATTGAAATTTTGGGGGGTTTAGAAAGGAAGCAGTTATTTTCAAAACTATTTGAAACAATGGCAATTTGTCAAATAGCTGCATCTTTCAATATACTGTAAATTGAGAAGCCTACATACTTAAAATAAATTTAGAGACTTAAAACCCCACTGGCTTCCATCATACTATTTTTGTGCCAAAAGATTAAAAACCTATCAGACAATTCAAGCAGACATAATAAACCACAGTTTATTATGAGAAGTCAAATATCAAAAGAAACAGTATGAAATGACCACAATACTAACATACCGTACTTCCTCTGGTATAAACCCACTTCAGGTTATAAGCCCCAACATTACATTCCATTTATGATAAAATGGATCGGAAATGCTGTCAGTTTGAAAAAGATTGTCAATTTACTTGTGAAAAGGGGATTCCAAAAGTATAAGTCCACCCCAAAATCGGCCCAGTTTTGTGTTCAAGGGGGCGGGGCCCCCTCCATGAGAGGAACTATGTTATTTCTAAAGAAACAGTGAAATAGCTACAATACTTTTATATTTCATACCACTTTGATAAAGCTACCAAATTTGGTAGTTTTGAAGTAATTAAAATAACAACCAATATTAAATATCAAGCAGTATAAACATAACATTTTATAACACATCTAAATAGATCCTTGTCATTTGATTTGTTGGATTTCGTATCACATGACATTGGTTATTTCTACCACTTCATCATGGAAATTAATGCATGTAGCTACATTGCATGCATCGGCAGGATACAATATCTTTTCATGCTTAAAAAGACAATGGACTGTTCCATCCAGAAAAGAAGACTGATTAAAAAAAAAAAATATAAGGACATATTTTAGATGTGTTCAAAAACAAATAATGTACACTTTTTATTTGTGCAATGGAAAGAATTTTTCATTCATTGAAAGATTGACTGTTTCTTTTAACTCGGCTCTGCCTCATTGAATGGAACAGTCGACCATTCAACTCATGAAAATATTCTTCCTATTGCACTCATAAACATTCATTATTTGTACCACTCCATACCAATTTAAACCACTGTTCATCCCACATATCAAGAGTAGGAATACAAGAGACCAGAATATGATTTGATATAATATTCCAGAACACAATAAATGTCAATTAAAGGAGTGTTACAGACAATTGCTGTTCAATTTTCAGTAATTCAGCTACAGTCTAATTAAATGATTTTTTTTTCAATTTCTGTTTTAATTTTTTGTTTCTGGTTGGAAGTTAATAACTATTTTTATGGTTGTATTTTATTTGTTGGTTTTTATCTAAAGCCCTGTCCAAACTACTGTATCTCATACAGTATTTTTGTATACAACAGTCTTTATATGCACATATAGTCATGATGTGCCTATATAGAGCCATGATGTGATGTCATGGTACTGTTTGCAAATGTTCACATTCAAATGGTCTTTCTCATGTATGTATCCTCATATGCCTTCTGAAATTTCCACTGGAGTTAAATCTCTTTTCACATTCATTTGCTGTCTCTTCTGTGTTTCCTCAGAACCTTTTTCAAATTGCTGTTGTTAAATTTCTTTCCAGAATGTAATTTCTGTCTATAGGCATCCGAATATCGTTTTTCAAGAGAATGGATTTTTAAGCGAAATTTAAAATTACTATTATCTTCAAGATTCTTTCCATAATGTTCACATTTATATGGAGTCTCTCCTGTATGTGTTCTTACATGTGTCTTCAAATCGGTACAATGTTTAAACTTTCCCTAATGTGTTTTAAATGTGTGCTCCTTATTCATTCATATGGAGTCTCTCCTGTATGTATCCTTACATGTGTTTTCAAAGTAGTATACTGCTTTAATTTCTTTTCACAATATTCACATTTATATGTCTCTGTTTTGTGTGTTATCCTTTACATGTCTCTTCAAATAGCTACATGATTTGAATTTCTTTCCACAATGTTCACATTCATATGGTCTCTCTCTGGTATGTGTCATCAGATGTTCTTTTAAATTGCTACTTCTCTTGAATTTCTTTCCACAATGTTCACATTCATATGGTCTCTCCCCTGTATGTATCCTTATATGTCTTTTCAAGTTGCTACCCGATTTGAATTTTTTTCTACATTGTTGACATTCATATGGTCTCTCTCCTGTGTGCATCCTTAAATGTCTTTTCAAGTTGCTACCAGATTTTAATTTCTTTCCACAATGTTCACATTCATAAGGAGTTTCTCCAGTATGTATCCTCTGATGTTGTTTTAAATGGCTACTGATCTTGAATTTCTTTCCACAATGTTCACATTTATATGGTCTCTCTCCTGTGTGCATCCTTAAATGTCTTTTCAAATGGCTACCTGATTTGAATTTCTTTCCACAGTGTACACATTCAAATGGTCTCTCTTCTCTGTGTATCATTAAATGTGTTTTCAAATTTGCTTTGTTGTTCAATTTCCATCCACAGTATTTACATAAAAGTGACTTCTCTCTTGTATGCATCCTCAAATGTTCACATTCATTTGGTGTGTCTCCTGTGTGCTTCTTCAGATTCTTTTTCAAACTGCTGTTGTGAAATTTATTTACAGAAAGTAATTTCTGTCCAGGCATCCTCAAATTGCTACTTGAAATATTCAAATCTGCTATTTTGACTTTATATCGTTTTTCAAGTGCATGTATTTTCAAGTGATATTCAAAATTTTTAAATTTCTTTTCACAATGTTCACATTCATATGGTCTCTGTCCTGTGTGTATACTTACATGTCTTTTCAAATGGCTACTTCTATTGAATTTCTTTCCACAATGTTCACATTCATATAGTCTCTCCCCTGTATGTATCCTTATATGTCTTTTCAAGTTGCAACCCGATCTGAATTTTTGTCTACATTGTTGACATTCATATGGTCTCTCTTCTGTGTGTATCCTTAAATGTCTTTTCAAATTGCTCCCTAATTTAAATTTCTTTCCACACTGTTCACATTCATGTGGTCTCTCTTCTGTATGCATTCTTAAATGTCTTTTCAAATATCTATCTAATTTGAATTTCTTTCCGCAATGTTCACATTCATGTGGTCTCTCTTCTGTATGCATCCTTAAATGTCTTTTCAAATAGCTACATAATTTGAATTTCTTTCCACAATGTTGACATTCATATGGAGTCTTCCCTGAATGTATCTTTTCGTGTACTTTTAAATCGGAACCTTTTTTAAATTTCTTTCCACAATGTTCACATTCATATGGTCTCTCTTCTGTATGCATCTTTAAATGCATTTTCAAATACCTACCTAATTTGAATTTCTTTCCACAATGTTCACATTCATATGGTCTCTCTTCTGTATGCATTCTTAAATGTCTTTTCAAATATCTAACTAATTTGAATTTCTTTCCACAATTTTCACATCCATATGGAGTCTTTCCTGAATGTATCATTTTGTGTGCTTTCAAATCGTAACATTTTTTAAATTTCTTTCCACAATGTTCACATTCATATAGTCTCTCTCGTGTATGTATCATTACATGTCTTTTCAAATGGCTCCTTCTTTTGAATTTCTTTCCACAGTGTTCACATTCATATGGTCTCTCTTCTGTATGCATCTGTAAATGCATTTTCAAATAGCGACTTAATTTGAATTTTTTTCCACAATGTTCACATCCATATGGAGTCTTTCCTGAATGTATCATTTTGTGTGCTTTCAAATCGTAACATTTTTTAAATTTCTTTCCACAATGTTCACATTCATATGGTCTCTCTCGTGTATGTATCATTACATGTCTTTTCAAATGGCTCCTTCTTTTGAATTTCTTTCCACAGTGTTCACATTCATATGGTCTCTCTTCTGCATGCATCTTTAAATGTATTTTCAAATAGCGACTTAATTTGAATTTTTTTCCACAATGTTCACATCCATATGGAGTCTTTCCTGAATGTATTCTTTCGTGTGCTTTCAAATCAGAATATATTTTAAATTTCTTTCCACAATGTTCACATTCATGTGATCTCTTTCCTGTATGTAGCCTTAGATGACTTTTCAAATTGGTATTGTCATTAAATTTCAATCTACACTGTTTACATTCATATGACATTTCTTTCTTATGTATTTTAATTTTTTTCCCCAATTTGACTGCTTCTGTCTTAATTCTCAAATGTGTCCTCAATGAAATTAAGTCAAAATTCTTTCCACAACATCCACATATATATTCTGTGTTCATCTTGTTCTTTTCCAAATGTTCCCTTAAACTGTCAAACTTGTGTTTTTGCATTCCAATGCTTCCATGCACATGTCCATGGTCATTTATTCCTTTTATTGGAAAAAAATATGAAATAAAATTGCAACATGAATTAGTAGTAGTTTACTGTATAATAATAATGATAATAATAATGATAATAATAATAATAATAATAATAATAATATAAATAATATAAATAATAATAATAATAATAATAATAATAAACAATAGTAATAATTAACGATAATAATTAACAATAATAATAATTAATAAATAAACAATAGTCATAATTAACAATAATTTGTATGGTAGCATGTTTAAAAAACAACACATTAGCATTTACATTCTAAGGGCATAGAGAATTACTTGTTTGTCAGAAGATAAATGTGAGCAGCATCTGAGTTATGTACAGACACACTAGAATAGAAACAATGATAGAACAAACCAGGTTCATCTTTGATTTTCTGTCCCAACATAGCTGTAACTTCTTTTGACTAAAGTTCTGAAAGCAAAGAAATACTGTAATGAATTAAAGGACTAATACTATAGTTAGTTCTCATTGGTGGATCCAGGGGGTGTCAAAATGGGCGCTTGCTATTTGACATTGTTTTTTGGAAGTAGTGTAGAATAAGTTAAGTACAGATTCAGATTACTTTATTCATCATAATAAAAGCAATGAAATTATTTTCTGGGTATACTCTAGGTTAGTTAAGAGAACAACTTAGCTCAGTCGGCTAAACTGGTGGTAGCCACTGTGTTCGTGCCGAACTGAAGAGATCTTTTGGTCCCGGTTTAATTTCCATCGCTGCTCTCCTTGTATTTCAGCTGAAGGGGTGAATGCAAGAATTTTGACAATGAGACGTTTAAGCTTTAGTCCCGTGTGCATCATTATGGCCCATATGTACGTTTATGAACACAGCACACTCTTTAGAAAAGAGCAGGGGATTGTCTCCCAGTGCACTACTGACCACCACAGAAGGACCCCACTGGAAATAAGTCTTCAGACATCCGTGGGTTATCATTGGTGTTTACACCGAATAAATCCAGTTTACCAGAGCATCCATTAGTCTTAAATAAAAACAAAAAGACAGTATCTCTGAAAAGAGACATGAGACATTTTGTGCTTCTCAAAATGTCCGTTTCTTTTCGGAGTTACTGTCTTTTAGTTTTATTAAATCCATATTATGTCAAAAGCATATAAAAATACAAGAAAAATGTGATTGATTATATTTATTTAAGTATCTACAGTGTCTAAAATATCTATTGTGTTCAAGGTCAGCAATTTTTACATTTTTTTACCACTTTGCTTATAGTGTATGTGGATAACTTTGATTAGGCAACACTTATCCTTTGTTCAGCAAAATTACTTTAAACATTTTAACAAAAATTTACAGGGCATTTTACTAAAATACGTAAGCTAATATTTTCATAATCTTCAAGGGCAAATAGGAATTATGGGCAAGGAGTGCTTTATCTTTTTGACCTATGTTATTGCTCACTAAAGTCATTTTTGAAATTGTACATTATTTTACTACTGAATGTAGTTATGAAGATTATTTTATTTTTTTATTATTTTTCTCATTCCTGATGATGACATAATTAATGTCGAAATATTGAATCCCAACACGATGGCGTGTATTTCAATACTTGGAGTATGTATTATACTTTCTTAAGATTATTTTATGTACTCTTTTGTTTGTTTTGTGTGAAACTGCAAAAAAAAAAAAAAGGAGTGCTTATGAAGGATGGATGTGATGATGGATGTCAAGTCAAGCAATTTTCTGGCAGAAGAAGCAGAGTTCATCGAAAGTACTATCATAATCGAACTGCAGGGTTGTCAAATCTTGTCGTTATACATAGGCCTAATAGAACACATAAGCCTAAGCGTGATTTAAAAAAATCTTAAATCCATAAATCTCAGGCCAGGTCTTTTAAGATAGAAATGCGATACTGTGGTTCAATTTCGTTTTTTATCCTTTTGCAAGTTTCTTTAAATGTTTGTTTAATAATACTACTACTAATAGTAATAATAATAATAATAATAATTATAACAATGATGATGATGACGATAGTAATAATTGATATTAATATTAAATTGTGCTAAATGCGAAAAAATGTTGTGATTTGTTGATCATAATATAGTATATATAGTTAAACTTAGTAAGCTATAATTAGGCCTAAGTTGTCCTGGATATTAAGTAGATCCCTGATAAAAGATCATGAGAAATTTGTTGGCGTTTCATTTTGACTATAATGGTAATGTGATGAATTTTACTATATAAAAGTGTCATTTCCGGCCATTTCGAGAGGTACTATTTTCTTCAAATTTTCTCACCTCAGCCCCAGCCAAGGTGGAGCTGAGGTGGTTGTGAAATCACGTTTTTGAAGTAGCCCTATGTAAAGTACATACTCAAAGACAATGTTTTTAAGCTTTTTTTTTCTATTTTTTTTTTTTCTATGGTATATCACACACACATTAATAAGAATAAGATCTCTATGGTGGTAAAAAATCCCTGATAAAAGCTCATGTTTGTTTAATAATACTGCTACTAATAGTAATAATAATTATAACAATGATGATAATGACGATAGTAATAATTGATAGTAATATTAATAGCAATAAAAAGTGAAAAAAATTGTGCTAAATGCGAAAAAAAAGTTGTGATTTGTTGATCATACTATAGTATATATAGTTAAAGCTTTAATAGTAAGCTATAATTAGGCATAAGTTGTCCTGGATATTAAGTAGATCCCTAATAAAAGATCATGAGAAATTTGTTGGCGTTTCATTTTGACTATAATGGTAATGTGATGATGATGAATTTTACTATATAAAAGTGTCATTTCCGGCCATCTCGAGAGGTACTATTTCCTCAAATTTTCTCACCTCAGCCCCAGCCATGGTGGGGCTGAGGTGGTTGTGAAATCACGTTTTTGAAGTAGGCCTATGTAAAGTACATACTCAAAGACAATGTTTTTAAGCTTTATTTTCTATGGTGTATATACACACATTAATAAGATCTCTATGGTTGTCAAAAATCCCTGATAAAAGATCATGAGAATTTCTTTTGGCACTTCATTTTGACTAATGGTGATGTGATGATGATGAATTTTACTAAAAGTGTCATTTCTGGCCATCTAGAGGTACTATTTCCTCAAATTTTCTCACCTCAGCTCCAACCATTGTGGGGCTGGGGTGGTTGTCGACTTACAAAATGCCCTCCCCCTCCACCTTTCAAAACAGATCTGTGCCCTTCCCTGGGTATGACATTAAACTCCATCGAGTCGGCTCCTGATGTATGTCTTAGTGACTGCTGTTTATTTTTAGGATGTGATCTGGTTTTTCATGCCCATTTTTCATAATTATGACTATTCTGGATAAAGAATGTTTTGAGCAGAGGTGGAAAAAAGGAAAAATATATTCAAATTGAAGTGCGAGAGTGTAATTTCCGGCCATCTAGAGATGCCCTAATCATAAATTTTCTTACCTCAGCCCCAACCATGGTGGGGCTGAGGTGGGTGGTTCCTCGGTCTGTGAAAGTCCCTCCCTGGTTCATCTCTTTTGCGAATTCCTGGATCTGCCACTGTTGATTTATTATATAATTATTTTTTCGCTTATTTATAATGCGTCTATTGCAATTTTCACTTTATCCTCTCAAACAGTCCTAAGAATGTTCAGAGTGCGCTACTGTACTTCACAGGGCTATTCGCCCCCTTGACCCCGCCGGGGTCATACGTAATTCGCACAACGGCTCCCCCCCTTTCAAAATCCTGGCTACGTCCCTGTGCTGGAGTCGTTTGTGGTACACACTGAACTCTAATATTGTTTCACGTCAGAAAGAGTCGGTGTGTGAGGTGAATTTATTATTTTTTTCAATCTTGTCATTATTGTCAGTTCATTCAAAACATTTGTTTTCTCAAAACTAAAGTGCGGGACCATTTACTACAGGTTGGGCAGGACACAACTTACAAAAATGGGACAATACCGTCAAAGTCAATGGATGGGGTTCGAGAGGACTATTTCGCAAAGTATGGCCCGCGCACCCCATGCGACCCGCCAGTGATATTTTTGCGGCCCCGTGAAAAGTCAATGGATGGGGTTCGTGAGGACTATTTCGCAAAGTATGGCCCGCGCACCCCATGCGGCCCGCCAGTGATATTTTTGCGGCCCCATGAAAATGATCAAATTACAAATCCTATGTGTGCGGCCCGCCAACCATCTTTGGCTACAGAAAACACCTTGTTTTTGCGGCCCGGAACCGATCATCTGTAAAAAGTAATAGTAAACCTCTGAACCCCTGATCTACCGTAACAGTACAGCACTTAGTGTTGTGCGCAGTTTAAGCTTTTTAGTCATTTTTAGTCACTCACATATGTTGTTTCAAAGATGTTTCAAACTGTGCGCGAAATATGCAAACAGTGCAAGATTGCTTTCAGCAATTGTTATAAATGTGACATTTAAATGTATTTTACTGACACTGACTAACTTATTATATAAGATTATGATTTAACATAATGTATTATTTAGGAGATAGGCCTACTACAGCATTTTTCAAGTGATCGGACAATTGTACTGAATTTTGTGTCAATTAGGCTAGACTAGGCCCAACCTAGCTCCAGCCAAAGTCATCATCATGCATTTAGAAGTTACATAAAATAAGACCTACTCCAAAACTTAACTATCACCCACTACATCCCCAACCCCCTCACCTCTATCCACCGCGGCCGTCCCAAGGCAAAACAACGTAACTGACATTTTTGTCGATTTTGATATATCATTTGGGCGATTAAACACTTCTGAATTACCTATGTGAAAATCTAGGTCTCAACAATGAGTTGTTTTGGAGAGCACCACCTACCTTTTAAGCATTAAACTTAAAATCTATTTTCTGCAAGACATTTCTGCAAGAACACAGGCTAAACAACGTACTGTATCTATGATGAACATACAGTATGCTGTTTGCCTCGAAATGGTATTCAAAAATTGAGCTGATGGGGTTTGGCAGAGCAATATCAACTGATTATGTTATTTTCATATCAAGAAAATAATATTAACAATAATGTATGTACAAGTTAGAATGCATTTGATTTCCACAGATGTGAAAAATTCTTGTTACTTGTTACAATACTGCACCTGAAATGTTTCTGAGGTAAAACAACGTAACTGTGAATATCGTTAACAACTTTCCAAGAACCCAACAGTTGTAATTAAAATTTTATACAACCATTATGTCTATATAGTCCTGCAAAAACGTCAAAATGGTAAAGTACAACAATTGGCAAAAGTTGCAAACATACCAAATTTAACTCAAGTTACGTACTTGTTTTGGTATATGGGTTGAAATGATTTTGGCAAAGACGATCAGGGCCACGAGACAATCAGGCCAGTGAGGAGACCCCTTGTTGTCTGACACTACAACATAATAATTTGCCCAGATTTAATTAATGTTATTGATTGCCAATCACTAATACTGTAGTCTAAAAGCAGCGGTGGAGCCAGAAATTGGCCGACAAGGGGTCCGACAAACCAAGATGGCTGGCTATGACGTGTGTGGCTGAACGTGTTTGGTTCAATTATGGTAGAAAAAAAAAACAATCAACAATTGTCGGGGTGGGGGGGGGGAACACAAATGTACGGTATTATTTATTTAATGAAATAATATTTAATTTGTATGAATTTTTATCACTGAGAGAACAGATAATAATGTCAAAATATTGTATATAAATGGAGGCTTCATGATCAAAAGTTCTTGCAAGGATTTGGTATTTTGGTCCCTAAGGCTGCTGTGCCTGGAATCGTATAAATAGGCCGTGAAGGGTTCCACACCTAGGTACGACGAGCCTGGGGCCATGGCTGTCCTAATCTTTGTTTGGTGGTAGGATAAGCCAGAGTACCAGCTTTTGTCATTGTTACAAACACCTAGACCTAGTCAATTTACTTACACATTTTTTTTTGCAAGAGAAGTACGGTCTAGCCCTAACCTAGGCCTACCTGTTGTTGTTCGAAATCGCGCCGCCTGATTGTGAGAACGGATTGAACCACGTGGCTGAACTCTCACCGCCGGATCGGATTGCTGCGTGACCACTCACTGGTAAAAATAAAAATTCCCAAGGTTCGTCAAATCATGGAGGAATAATGGTCAAATATTAGTAGCCTATATATACATACAACTTCATTTAAAAATCCAGTTTAAAGCTATTTAAATGAATTTTGCTGTACTGTAATTTGTACTGTATAACAAAACAGAGTGTCTGGATTTTCGAGACCAAATAACTCGTTGTCGGATTTTCAACTGTGTAGAATTCTCCAAAGTTGGAGTGTTGGGGGAGTTGCAGTTGTCTTAAATGAAATAAACTCATATACATCAAAATTATAGTGCAATTGCCTTTATTTTATTTGTATTACACAGAAAATATTCCATAATTGGCATAACTCGTACTTCAATATAAAAGTAGTAGGTGTAGGATGGTAAGAGTAAAGTAGGCCTATTTTTGATGAATTTTTATTAAACTTTTAATTGTCAAATTAAAACACAATGAAAAGCATCTGCAACGTATGAGATAAATATCAAGAGATTTAGCCGCTGCATTTTATTATCTTTAGAAAATTATGAAAATGGCTTTAGACAACATTGAGACGCCGACTTGAAAAAAACTACTACACTTCCAATGGGTCCTTAGGCTACTTTCTACATAAACCCTCATTAATTCACAACAGTGTCAACTATTTGTGTTACCAAGGCCCTTTAATTTACCATGTTTGTTCAATTCTTGATATAAAAAATTAAAAATTAAATACCATTCCAAAAATCCCAGATTTAATAAAAACAGTGTTACAGTGGCGGATCAAAGTTTTAGAAATGGGGGTGGATAATGCGTTTTGCGAAGCACTAATCGGCTGGGGGGGGGGGGGGCGTGGTTTCGACAACAAGGGCGCAAATCAGTTTCGAAGGTGAGCCGGGACATTTCGTGAGCCCACACCCACCTCAGGCCCACCATGGTTGGGCGAAAATTTTAGGAAATTTAGCTCTTGACCGGAAATGACACTTTTATATACAGTATAGTAAAATTCATCGTCATCAAATCACGTACCATTATTATAGTAAAAATGAAGCGCCAACAAATTTCTCATGAAGTAAGTTTACCAGTATTTTCGGCAACCAATTAATATGTTTGATGTACTATAGAAAATAGGCCTAAATGTTAAAAACATTGTCTCTGATGTACTTAATTTAGGCCTATAGGCTACCTACTTCAAAGCCGGCATTAGTCCCACAAGGGCCGAGGTGGAACATTTGGGGAAAGCACCTCTAGATTACAAGAAATGACACTCTTTTATAATTAAATTCATCATCATCGATCAACTTAATCGCTGTGATTTTTTACTGAAAATAAAACTAAATTGTCTTTGATGAATTTTTAATTTACTTTACATGTGCCGAAAACCAATCTTATTATTATTATACACGATTTTTCTCATACTTCTCAAATTATAATAAAGGCACGCGTACAAGAGTCGTGTATTATAACAGGTGTTTGTGGGCAGAGATAGAGTACCGGTTGCGCACACTTTCGTTAAAACCTGGGCCATTTATGCAGTTCATTTCAACAATTTTTAGGCAACTCTTGACATTGCGGACGAAAAGTGAGGGGCCAACCCCCACCCCCTTAACAAAATTTGGGGACGTGTCCCCCTGTCCCTCCTTGATCATGGGTTTAGGGAGATGCATCCCCCTTCCATTTGAGATTTTTTTGGAATTATACACGGCTAAGACGCTCTTGGATAATACACCTGAAAATTAAGCTTGAAATAGAAAGTGTATGTTTTACGAGAGTAGCCATGTAACATGTATACATGAGAAGCACACACACGTCAAGACGAGTGACTATATATATTTTTTTCGAAGTCACCGATGTGCAGGGGTGACTAGCCACTCTATACTCCCCCTAGATCCGCCACTGGTTAACGAAAAATACAAAGATAGGGCTATATGGAAACGTATCATTTGGTCTCCAAGCTCGCCTTAACCATTGGAGAAAACTGGATTTTTTTCACAAAAGTACATTTTTGGTACAAAATCTATGACTTTCTTGTAATGGCCCAAGCGGATTATGTTGTAAAAAATATTAATCTACCAATTCGTGAAGAAAAAATGAAAAAAAAATCCCTACAGTTTTGTCGGAATACGCCGATTTATAACAGCTCCTCACGCCGATTTAGATAGGGAATTTTAAGAAATTAGAGGTTTTTGGCTGTTCTGAGCTCGTTTCTTACTCCCTCACTCACAGAATATTTCTTTTTTCGAATTGGCCCAAGTGGATTCGTGGAGGGAATATAATAAGCTTGAAGCTGGTATAAAATTTAGTATGATTGGTTGGGTAGTTTTATCGGAAAGAAGAAAATATAAAATCCATCCAGTCCACGATTGCATCTCATGGGGTCAAAAAATCTCTCAAGCGTGATAGTCCAATCAAAGATACTAGAAACAGAAGATAGAGTTCTCCACACAAAAAAAGTGTTCCACCGAAATGCATGGTGGGAATACAAACAATGGGACTCCCCTTACGGCTGGAACTAAAAAAAACTTCAACCAAACTTTCGTTACCAAGGCGTCGCGTATTTTATTGTCAATTCTTAATTAAAAAATTGTACACAATTGTACAATTATACCCAGACAGTGACAGCGGTGAATACATTATTCCTTGGCGGACGGAGGTAGATATCGTTGCTATTATACAAATAAAACACACAATTAAGCCTATGGATCAGTATAGAAAACAACAATATAGCGCAAAATCGTATGGCCGGAAGCACTCTAGTGATAAAGTTTTCCTCCATTAGTGGAAAAAGAAGGGCGCCGTGTAATAATAATTTATTCGAACATACACTTTTACATCAGTGACACGCGTCAAAGGACGGTGCGTTCAAAATAACAAATTCAGATAAACCAAGCAACAAAAACCTACTAAATAAACCAGTCTACAAAGAACAAAATTACTAGTCTAAGCAAATTCACATTACCAATAAACACACCCACCCCACCACCCCATATATACACACCCACCCCCATTACACACGTACAACTTCAGTATGTAAATGCAACCCAACATAAAAGTCTAAGCAATCTTAAACACTACAATATAGAGCAAAACATCTTCATATAGAAATGTTCATAAGAATAGAACGCCTTATCCAAGCCTGTGTAGTAAATATAGTGTTAAAATCCTTATTGAAAGAGTAATAATCACTCCCAAGCATAACATTAAGTTTAACATAATTATTCGCATTAGAAACTATATCCCAAAAAAGATGGTAGTTTCTTTAGTTGAAGAGTACATTTTAATCTGGCAAATTCGTTGGATCTGATATCATTGAAAGCAGTACATTCAAATTAGAAGTGCCTGACATTTTCTTGGCAATTGTCATCACAAATTTTACATATACCACTACTTCCAGGCGTCCAGCTACAAATCCTACCCTCGAGGGGGGAGTGTCCCAGCTAGCAAAGCGACGTTGGCCCAACGTTGGTAAACGTTGGCAAGCGTCGGTAAGCGTCGGGGTCGGATATCTGACGTTGGTACGACGTTGGTGTTTGGTTGCAAAATTTGGTCGGAGAGGTAACGTCAAACCAACATTGGAATTTCACGTTGGCCCAACGTATGAATATATTTGTCGATTTTCCAACGTTGGTAAGCCGTCGTAAATATTCAGTCTGAATTCGGACGTTGGTACAATGTCCCGATTTGTTACTGGCCCGACGTCGGCAATCTACTAAAAATAACGTTGGCTAGAGGTTGTAAATATTAGATGTGATTGTAGACGTTGTCTCAACGTCACAGTACGTTGTTGGCCTGACGTCGGTAAACGTTTGAAATGGTGGTTGGTTAAAACCGTTGGTCCGACGTTGGTTAGAGGTTGTAAATATTAGGATGTGATTATAGACGTTGTCCTAACGTCACAGTACTTTGTTGGCCCGACGTCGGTAAACGTTAGTGAAGGTTGGTTACAACCGTTGGGCCGACGTTGGTTGGAAGTTGTAAATTTCAAACGTTTACCGACGTCGGGCCAACAGAGTACTGTGATTTTGCGACAACGTCTATAATCATACATAATATCTACAACCTCTACGAAACGTCGGCCCAACGGTGATACCCGACATCTATTTCAAACGTTTACCGATGTCGGGCCAACAAGGTACTTTGACGTTGCGACAACGTCTATAGTTATATATATATATTATGGAGGTTGGTTACAACCGTTTGGCCGACGTTGGTTAGAGGTTGTAAATATTAGATGTGATTATAGACGTGGTCGCAACGTCACAGTACGCTATTGGCCCGACGTCGGAAAACGTTTGAAATGGAGGTTGGTTACAACTGTTGGTCCGACGTTGGTATAAGAGGTTGTAATAAATATTAAGATGTGATTATAGACGTTGTCCCAACGTCACGGTATTTTGTTGGCCCGACGTCGGTAAACGTTAGTGGAGGTTGGTGACAACAGTTGGGCCGACGTTGGTTAGAGGTTCTAAATTTCAAACGTTTACCGACGTCGGGCCAAAATAAAAAAAAATAAAAAAAAATTGGTCCGTGTGGGAATCGAACACACAGCCACCAGGTTTGCTATTCATTATCCACCATCAACTAAACTGCCTTAAAAAAAAAACAAATGGTTCGTGTGGGAATCGAACACACAACTACCAGGTTTTGCTATTCATTATCCACCATCAACTAAACTGCCTTAAAAAAAAAAAAAAAAAAAAAAAAAAAAAATGGTTCGTGTGGGAATCGAACACACAACTACCAGGTTTGCTATTCATTATCCACCACCAACTAAACTGAATTTTTTTAAAAATGGTTCGTGTGGGAATCGAACACACAACCACCAGGTTTTGCTATTCATTATCCACCATCATCTAAACTTTCTTAACAAAAAAAAAAAAAAAAAATTAAAAAAAAAATTTAAAAAAAAAATAGATTATGAAAAAAATAAAAAAAAAACCCCCAGAAACTGCCTTAAAAAAAAAAAAAAAAAAAAAAAAAAAAATTGGTTTGTGTGGGAATTGAACACACAGCCACCAGGTTTCCCGTAACATGATTGGTCTATTTT